TCCCTGTTGCTGGCCAGAGAAGATTATAACAACTCTGCAGTCGAGATTATTCCCCTCTGCACATCAGTAACAGGTTATTTTATAAAAAAACCTGGAAAAGAAGCATTTCATCTTGTATAAATGGGGGTTTTAAAATCCCATTTGCCTTCCCTCTTCATGCAAATCTGTGCTGATCTGATGAGGCTCCTATTTCCTGGATTACACATGTCAAGCTTTGCAAAAATGAGCATACCCTGGTGGTTTAGTGCTGTATTTCACAGCCCTCTCTCGACCATGCTGACATAAATATTTCAGAGACCTGCACACAACTGTTTGAGTTAGGTCTAGGTCACCGAGAAGCCACTGGTTTGGACAGACTCATTAATTCAGCAAAGCAATTAGCAGGAGCTAGTGCAACTTGGGACATCCTGGTGAACAGCAGGAGCAAGATACCCACCAACAAGGCGTAAGGAAATCCTCACCAGCCACCACATCACCCACACAGGCTGTGGGACAGGCCCTGGCACAGGACTCCTGAGCCAAAGGGATCCCTCCTCCTCCCAGCTTTAAAAACCTCTTCTCGGCTTAGAGCAGTGCTGGCTTATTTGGCCACTGAATTCTCCTGAAAGACATGGATTGGCAGCAAAACTGGACCGAGTTATTCCCCATCCTGAGTCCTGTTCTGTCCAAAACCACAGCAAGTCCTTCAAGGCAGCCTCTAAAATTACCTCCCTAACATGAATGCTTTGAGAACTGTGTTTCCATACATGCAAATCCTTGTTTGTGCAACAAATGAGATGGGGAAAGACCTGAGACAAGCATGAACAGCAAAGATAGCTACCGATGGAGAAGGTAGCCCGAGGATCCTTGGAAGGTGCAGCCATTGATATTTAAATGCTAAACAATGCATCATCAGCTCCCTGCTGAACATAAAATGGTTTCATCTTTGCAAAAGCAGCAACAAGAGCATGCTCACATCAACTTTGCTCTGGCAGTTTGATCAACAGCAGCAGTCATGGCTTCTTATTTTTTAACTGCAATATAATTAGGCACTTAGGAAAATTACTCTGAACAGTACAAGTGCTATAGAGTAACTGCAGGTATCAGCACAGAGCTCTGCAAGCCAGAATTTTAACCACAGCTAAAGGTACAGGCCAGCTGAGCTCCTGTAAGGCATGCTCTGCCCGGCTAGATACCGAGACACGCTATCCAAACCCGAGGGAGATCCAATGCTGCAGCATTCCAATCGCCAGTGGAAGATTTTGCTCTGTTTCTCCAGCCTGCAGGGAGCTTCTCTGGACCAAAGGAAGCCTTTCTGTGCCCCACTGTTGGCTCCTCTCAAATGGAAAGCATACCAAGTAGATTGTAAACATTTTAATATTATGAGCAGATGAAGCTCTTGCTTGGTTCATCCGGATTTGGAAACTGGACACATAAATTCCCAACTTCAAGCTGTCAGTTGAGAAACCAGCCACTGAGTTTCTGCCACATCAGGGAGCAGAAAAGTCCTGCTGCCACAGAGGTGGACAGAGCCCATCTGCAGAGACACTGCGCAGCCTGGGTCCCCCCACAGCTCTGGTCACTGCTGAGGAGGAGACCATCAACTCCCTTTTTCTTTCCCAGTTAAACCCTTGCCTCCTATATGCTTGTTCTTAATCTTCACAGTAATGTCTTCCCCAAGGAACCACTTCTGACCCTAATGACAGGTGGAAAATCTGCTGGTCAGTGATATGACTAGATGGTCAGAGCAACCCCACTTCTAATCATCATCAGGCATGTTGAACGAAACAGAGGGAAACAAGATGCCTGAATAACAAAAGTAGGTAATTCCCGGGAAATGAAACATTCACGTGCTCTAGGATCTTGCGTGACAGATTTGAGGTCTCCTGGAAATGTGGAAAAAAATGCTTTTATACACAGAACCCCCAAGAAAACTGACAAATTGACAGAGAAGACCATCAACCCCACCCAATCCTTCCATTCATCTCTGCCATCCCAAAGACTAAGGATCAGCCTTTGGTTGCCACAGCCATCAGGCAAGACCACCCTGAAAAGCAGTAGGGTATTTCCGTGTGCTGACAGACACCTCCACGCGCGTGGCAGCAACAGAAGCAAGTCACCCCTGCCACGTTTCGCCAGAGAGCTTCCACCTCACAAGGGTACTATCACCTGGTCAAAGCGCATTCAGCAAGCAGAAAGACACCAGAGGAAGCACAACTTCAAAAAAAGTCTGTGTCTGTGGTGGAACAGTTACCTGACCACGGGTGTGAACATCCATTCTGAAGACGCTGCAATCCCGCTCGATAAAAGCCAAGTAGCCTGCAAGTTTCTACGGATGCCAACCAAGAAGAGAATGAAAAGCCCTGCAGATGTCTTTGTCTCTTCATCTTTTCCTCAGACGATACCAAAAAAAAAGTAAACAGAGGTGCTGGAAGACTTTACAAGGTGCAAGTATCTTTTCTGCCTAACCCAGCTACGCCTGGTGCATTATTTAGTGCCAAGTGAGAAAGAAGCAACACCTAACAAAGTGCTAAAGGACTTTGTGAAGTTTCACCAACCTTTCCACAGCCCGTCAGCTTCCCAGCTGGCTGGCAGAAGAGACAACTGATCTCTTTGCTTCCAGATTACAGGCGGCAGAGCTCTTAGGGTAACTGTCTCTCTGTGTTTGCATCCAGCTACCTCCAGCAGCCTGAAGTGCAAGAAAGCACTTGATCAAAATCCAGCTCACATTGTAGGCAGCGGGGGAACAACGGCACAAAGCAGCGTTACATATACAATAACAATTTAATTTGGTGGAGGGATTTGACGGGTTACAGGTTGATGACACTGCTGCAGTCTCGGTGGAAACGCGCTTTGATGCAATTAGCAACAGGGAACTAGAAAAACAGCCGAGCAAAACTGGAAATACATGTATAAAAGATGAGCAACTGCAGGACCGGACAGAAGCATCAAAATCCTGTGTTGAGCTCAGAGCAGGAACAAGATGAAACAGAAGTGTGATGAGGGAAACGCCACTCTGAGCTCCCTTCCGCTATCCGAAATTGAAGATCCAGACTTTAAATTGAAACATTTGCTTCCCCAAGAGAGACTGGCCCCATTTGCTGCAGGGTTACAACGGAAGACGGCGGGGGGACATCCTGGAGAGGTGGGCAGCAGAAAGCAAACTTGTAAGCACTGTGCTGCAGTTCGCTTCGGCCTGTGCTGAGCACACACCAGCCAGCCCAGCCAGGACTCTGCTCGGCTACAGGCGAGTGAAATCGCATCAGGAAACATCAGAGGACGCAGCACCACCAGATCAGACACGCTGCCAACGCGTGCGCCTCTGCTGAAGCACCGAAAGCGATACCCTCGTGCAGCCACGCCGGCTGCCTCCCTCATCCTGCAGGTCAGCTCCCTCCCAGCTCAGCCCAGTGCTAGCCAAGGGGGAAACCCTCGAGGCCAGAGGCTGCAGGGATGGGCTGGCGGTGGTAGCAGGTGGCCCAGCCTTGCTTTGGGTAATACACGTGCTAAAAGTGCACGTCACGGTCCACGCACAAGATTTTGCTTCAGAGAGACCCACGGGAGACAGAAACCCAGGCTGATGGGGGAAGACCGGGGAAAACTCCTCTTTCTTACATGTCTCTACCCGAATCTGCACACACACCTGAGATGAGGATCCCTAGCAGCTAGACCATGAGGCAGGCCACCATTTAAGACTTTTACAACAGTAATTTAAATTCTTCTCCTCCTCTGTGAATGCTGACAAGCTCCCCACTTCCACAAGCCCGTCGCTGCACACGCCCAACATGGAATTGTTACAAAAATAAAGCGGAACAAGACACCCAAGCAATGGAGAAAGTGCTTCTGAACAAAACCGGCAACGACATTTATAATGACTGCAAGTATATACATATTCTGCTTCAACAAGGGTGGTGGGGATCTGCCAGTCTGAATACTGAGCAGGGACACCACACGCCTTCCATACATAATGGTACCAAAATAGAATATAAGCACATAACACAGATTTGTGAAATTTAGGGGCTTTTGCTAGACATTTATGTTATACAAAGATTTACATTCTGAAAAGTCATTCTGCTATATCTGGCAGAAATTTCACGACAAATGGATCCCATATTTATTCATTCAATGATAATACTGAGCACAGGATAAAGCTCTTTTAAATTCAGAGCACTTTATAAAAATTAATTACTACTTAGTTCACCCTTCTGAGGTGGGAAGGTATTACACCTGCATATACATGAGGACACCAAAGCACAAGTGGATTAAACACCTTGTTCAAGACCCCAGAGGCAGGCTTACTGATCATCCTAATTGCTGAAATATGTGTGCACACATGCATCCGTGTGCGTGTTTAAATGGGCTTATCCTCTCCAGAGCCTTTCCCAGCACACGGGTTTTCGCAGTGAAGCCAGCCTGCTCAGCCAGTGTCTTCTCACCATACGTGCCCCATACGTGTCTAATAAAAGATACCAACCCAAAAAAAGGGAAGAGATTTTTTTTGTGTGTGTGTGTGGTATGTATGGGTAGGGATAAAAGCTGGATTTCAAGCAGCCAAGGAACAGAAAACCCATTGTTAAAAAGCTGTGCAGTGTTACATTGACGGGTTTTAATCAGATTGCCGCTGAGCAGCATTTCACCAGCCCACACTGGAGCACAGCAGACCTGGGATACCACGTGCCAACAAATGTTATAAAATCTGTCCCTTGACAAGCGTACGAAGAGAGAAAGGGCTTCTGAGCTAGTGACAGAGGCACCTCACCACCCGCAATGTGACTGGCAGCCCACTCGACCTGCTCCAGTGAACTGAAAGCCCTTCAGCAACCGCTCCGGTTGCCAGCCGGTTTGGTGACAGTCTCCTGTCCCTGCATTAGGTCACTGGGTCCGGACCTCCTTGTCTGAACACCAGCGAAAGAATACATTGTCATGGGAACAAACAGGTATTTTGAGTTTCTGCAAGGCTCCTGTCAGTGCTGTCAGGTGGGGTTTCAGAGGGACGCTGTAATTAGTCATCAGCATGTTACCTGGACGGATGGTTTGCCACTGATGTGTGGGGTAAAACACTTCCAGGTCTTCAGGATCAGCATCATCTTCTGTTAGCGGCTCCTTCCCGTTGTCATCTTTTATGTCGCTCTCTTCTATTTTTGTAAGGGCAAACTCCTTTCGGATAGAAGAGATTCAGCTCATTAGCAATTGCATCTGGGTAATTTAGTGCCGGCTGAGAATACAAAATTTTTTCCCTCGCCAGCAGATTTTTTTTTTTTTGACATCCGAGATTCTTTCCACATGGTTAAATTTAGATTTAAAGTATATTAAAGGTTAAACATGCATAACTAGCATGGCATTTGTGCTGAACAAAGCAACGTAGCTTATTCCCTATTCCAATGCAGGCTGCAGGTTTAAAACAAGCTTTCTCAGAGCCTCACCTATATTCCAGTCAGAGCCAGAAGCCCTGACTATTATTAGGGTTGAGTAACATTATAAGACCCTGTTTTCCCTTGCCTAAAAATATGCCAAACTTTTAACTTTTTCAGCTGAAACTTTCCACACGAATGAAACGCCTCAAGCGTTGGTTGGGGCTTTTTTTTTTTTTTTTTTCCTTAAATGCACTTATTTCAGGCTTGGAGAAGATTTCAGCTAAAATAGTTCAGCTATTTCCAAAATAGGACATGAGGAACACACACCAAATTGCCCACACTATAAAAATTCGAGCATCCTTTTCCCCACCCATTCCTGGTGTCCTCCAAGTCTTTTAAAACAATGAGGCAGCGATTTAATCACCACCTACGTTGCAAGTGCAGCACGCAAATGGCAGAGGTGTGGCAGATCAAGCTAGCACGAGCGGCATGACATTACGCAAAGGCAAAAATGAGGATGAAAAGCAGGAAAAAAATCCTTGCTGTGAGGGAAACCTTGCTGTTCACTGGAAAGTCTCCCTAGGGAGTTGGTGGGAGCCATGTAAAACCGCAATGGACAGAATTATTGAGAGTACGTAGTAAGTAACGACCTCACACTATCTCATACCAGGCTATTAACTGCTCAGGAAGCAGGTCTTTGCTATTCTGGTTTTCACAGGAACAGATAAGCTGGTCCAGGCTAATCAGCCAGACAGCTCAGTTTCTGTTGCAGGGAGTATTATCAGCTTCTGGTATCGCCGAGAACGCCACCGCTGAATCATTTCAAATAACCCGCCTGTAGGGAAAGATTATTCCTAACTGTTGGCAATTAGAATAAGAGTTACAGCTCACTTCTTCATGAAGTGCTTTGATATTAATCCTTAGAATGTTTTCACAGGGAAAAAAAGAAGTCAATTAAGAGGTTAACTGGAGAATTTTAGGCCATGTTCTGCCTTCACTTCCACTTTTTGGAAAAAGATTCGTGCATATTTTCTGGCAGAATCTGGGTGCTTTGCATATAAATACCCATTATCCAGCCTAGCAGAGTGTTTCTGAGCAAGAGAAATGTCAGCCTGAGCAAAACACGTGCAATTAGCAGCAACAGTGGTAACACACGAAGGTGGTTGACAAACCTGTAGAATGTTTTTATTTTATCTGTCAAAAGGGACTGAAATTTCAGAAATACACTGGAAAACAGAGCCTGACTCCCGCTTCTGCTGCATGCATCAGAGGCTTGAAATTGTTAAAATTGTGACAAATGGTTAAAGCTCAGTAACAATCATAACCGTAAAAAGCCAGGTTCTACGGATGAAAATCAATGTTAACATTTTCTGAGCCAAGATGCAACAGAACTAAAATAAATGAGTCAGAGCAGTTATTACTTAGCTTATTTACACTACTATATTATTATCTAAGGGGGACTTAATGATACAGGCCATTGTAAATTTACCAACAGGCCTCTGAGCGTTGTATCTGATGAAACACATAATGGAGATGGCTGATGTTTACCCGCTCTGCTCATGCCATGGTCTAAATGCTCAGTAAGAATAAAAGGACTTGCTTCATTTAAATGTTACTGCCACTGCTTGGCCCGCAACTGCTTTGCAATACCCTGTTTTCATTAGTATTTCTGGCAGAAATGGGCAACAACACACAAGCAAGTCTTCATTTAAGCAGAAATTAAGTAGAATCTTTTTTTGGTTTGTTCTGGTAATTAAAATAATAGAAAGAAAGACGTTTTCTAAAGAACAATGGAAATTTCCTTACAGGCAAAAAGCCTCCTTGCTTTATCAGCCTGAAATCAACTGCAATAAGCTGAAAAGCCTCAGCAGGGAGGGTCTGAGACAATCTGCAGTCTGTTTGCAATAAAGGAGGGATGTGGCCACCATGGAGCACTTGTAGGGAGAGTGCAGGAAAGGGTGATTGGGGGGGGAGGAGGGTTAACCACCCATGGCACTAATCCTGTCTGGAGCTCAGTGTCAGGCTGCCTGCCAGTTAGGGCACATATCACTGGGTGGCTGTTCCCGTGCTTGTTCTCCAGCTGGGATGACTCTGCTCCATCTCCAGCCTCTTCTCCTTCCTCTCTGAAATAAAGACAAATTATCTCATCCTTACATGACTCCAGGTGGGCCTGAGGCACCGGCCGACAGCGCTTACACTGTGATCTGTCCCTCCTATTTGCTCTGGGTAATAGCACAGCCCCAAACAGCTGCATCACACAACCAGCAGACCAGCAAGCTGGGATGCAAAGGCAGGAGCGAGCGAGTGTCCAGGGACCTGGTGGGGGGCTGTGATCCCCTACGTGCCAGTGCTGCTGGGGGACCCCCTCTTTTAAGCCACAGCATTAATTAGAATTTAAAACCCACCACTCTTCACGGCTCAAGCTTCCTCGCGGAAGCTTTCCAGCTCTGCTAATCTAGCAGGGGGTGGCACTGGGGCTCTGCAGCAGAATCCAAACCGGGGGGGGGAGTTTTTCCACACCTGTACCAGCGCAAAGGGGCAGACAGAGTCCACTCACCTCAACTGCAGCTTCAAAATAACACTGAAAGTAGCAAAATCCATGCATGTGGGACAAGAGGATCTGAGGGAATGCTCTTTTAAGTCTGACTCACTTGTGGTGACTCAAAAGAGACACAGCTAAGAACCTAATTGAGGCTATCTCTTCTGCTCTTCTTGCCACTAGACCACGTAATTAGCTTTGCCTCTTGCCACGGGGGGAACATGTGACAACTCCAAATAGAAAAAGTGACAACTAGCAAACAAGCGAGCTGCCCAAGTTGCACTGTTCCTGTTGCATTCCCTCTGGATTGAGCATATTCTAGATTTCCTGGGGTGAGGCAAGCAGTCTTAGGAAAGAAACCCTTCTGAAATGTTGTTATTGAAGACCCACCGTCGAGGAGAGGTGATTCGCCAACCACTGCAACTCCCCACTTGGCCCTAGAGAGGATCAGGTAAGGCTATCACCCCACCAGAGACTCTGGTGGCCGGACAGCCCTTTGCAAGCATAGCTCCCAGCTGGAGCAGCCAACACTTACAGGAACTCTGTCGCTCAGGCTTGACTGGGAAAACACTGCAGAAACCACCAAGACCAGCAGGTTGACTTTGGCAGCGGTGGAGGGGAGACCAGCCCAGTGAGACATTGCCACCAGCCTGAAATTCAAAAGAAACCAAAATGAACAATATTTTAGTTCACATTTTCACGGGTTTCGGCATTCTTTACCTGACATTTTGCAATGCAGCACAGGTTCAGGGGTACGACACTGCAGGAAACAGAACACTTCCAGGTGTCAGCGCACGGGTCTCATCAGGGGCAGCCAATAGCAAGGGGTGCCAAACTTACTGCTAATGGAGTTTATAACAGGTAACGACAGAGGAGCTTATATTGACCCCACAGGGGCTTACATCTCTCCTGGAAAATACGAAGAGACCTGCAAGTTTTGTTTAAAATCACTGTATTAGCACCATGGATGACAACTACAGAGAGAAATAAAAATCAGTGCAAACCTGAGAAGGCTTTTTATGCCCGTGCCTCATTTTAAGCACAGAAGTAGCCATGTTCAGTCAAATTAAAGAGTCATCAAAGGATCAGGGGTTTATCTGAACCCATAGGTAGGTTTTTCTCGAGGAAAACAACATTTTGTAGAGGTCAGCAAGGTTTATTTGGTGGTTCCGACAGTGCAAGGCTTTCCCCGCTGCTCAGAGCACCAGCTCACCCGGTCGGTGAGCCCAGGAGCCGGCTCTGCCCGCGCTTGCCGCAGACCATAAAGCAGTCCTGTGGCAGACAGCCGCCCCAACCGACCACAGACCAGATACTGAAGAGAGGGGGGAAAAAAAAAGAAGGGTGCCAGTCACCGTGTCAGAGAGCTCACCTCCCCACCGGTACGTGTGTCACCAGGCTCACGCACACGCGGGACCCCACTGCCTCACAACACGAGGCTTTAAATCCACCTACAGCATTCAGCTCGCTGCTTCTCACGCTGGGGTAGGGAACAGAGCAGCCTGCCAGCACACAGGCTGGAGAAGTATTTCCTTTGATTGACTCTAAATTTACACGCTGCTAAATTAAACTAAATGAGGTCTTTTGAAAGAAGATGGGACTGATTAGTTCCGTTCAAACACTCCTTCATTACTCATCCCTCCATCAAGTCTGCTCCTACTCCTATCCAGGTTTTGAATTTCCTCCCATACATGCTGTCCTAAATATCTTTGTTTCTGTCTTTGTTGTCCATCAGGATGGCACATCGCATCGCAGATTTTTTCTTTCCTTGAAGCAACCATCTTCTGTTCCACAAAGCAGAAAATACGTTCACAAGCACACCCAACACCAACTCCTGCCACCAAAGGACCTCTGCCCCCAAAAGACTTCAAGGACACAAAGCGAGTGGAGTCCTCTCCTTCCACCCCTTTACTGCTATCTTGTCTCCCCACTCCATTAGGCTACTTCTTCCTCTTCTTGCTTGGTTTTTGCTTTAGCCAAAAAAAAAAAAAAAAAAAAGAAAAGAAAGGGCAAAACACTACATCATGCTGGTCAGTGGTGGACACCTAGGGAAAAGCAGCAGAGCAGGGAGCACAAACAGTAATACATCTGATACACTCCTGCATCTTCTGAAAATTCCTGACCCGAGGTCTTCCTGAGCAGCAGGCTCTATCTTTGAGCTCAAAAGCAGATCAACCGGATTTTTGGTTTTCCCATTAATTGCTTTTGAGGTGGATCTGGACATCTGACACTCACAGCAACTCTGCAATGACCTCCACCGTTTAATTCACACCGTGTATGAAAGTAGCACCTTACATTTCTGACCTGGCGCTTGATGTCCGCATTCCATGTCCTCCTCTTTTCTAAAGGGTCAAAGAGCCACCTCAAGGGACCCACAAGCCCTTATTAAACTACAAGCGGAGTAGAAGAAAAGCTCTCCGTTTTCAGAAGACAGGCAAAGACAACCTGTGCCCAAAGCCTCCATCTCTCTCTTGGGACACTGCCAAGTCCAACCAGGCTACAACAGCCAGGTTTCTGAGCCCAAAAACCTGAAGCAGAGTTCAAGGGCTCAACCTCCATTTGCTCCCAGAAGATGGATGTACCCTTCTGGCCAATGCCACAGTCAGGACCTCAATCTCAGACTGAACCACAACACACAGTCCTCAACTCACTTCGGAACAAACTGCTGCTTTTTACATAGGAAACAGTTTCTTGGTTTGGGGTTTGGTTTTTTTTTTGTTTTTTTTTTTTTTTTTTTCCAGTTATAAAACAAGCAGCAAAACCGGGATAATGAAAAATAGATGTATCCCTAAAACTTTACCTGCAAGCCTAGAAATAAAAAGGAAGAAAAACAAACTCAACAAAGCAGCAGCTGAAAGAAAATGCACATTCCCATAAAAATAGAGCTCACGTGTACTGAGAAGGCTGGTAGCAAATGACAGTACAGCCTCTTTAAAGCCTACAACCTCATGCCTGCCTGGAAGATGACATCTGCACAACAATTAGCAGTTTGCTTAAGTCCCAGGTAGGCAGGAGGAGCTAACATGTGAAACACGGGGGTTTGAAGATCCTGGAGAGAAGCCTGCGCAGGCTGACATCTCATTAGAAGACAGACGTACACAGAGGGCATGAGAGGATTTCCAAACCGAATGGTATGTGGGAACAACGCACTTTTAGAAACGACCCTTGCAGCTTGTAAAACAGAAAGGGACCCCACCTGCATGGGGAACATTTGCGCTGATTGAAGGACATTATTGTGGATCCAGCAGCACCCACGTACAGCTGAAGCTGGTCAGCACCAGAACCACTACAGGAAGACCACAAATTCCCCTTGTGTGGAGTGGAGAGTTGGGTTTTTTCCCCCAATAATCCTCGTATGTCAAAGAAAACCAGGTACTATGGAACAAGTAAAGGGTCACACTCAAAGAAGCCCCGGCTCCTGGCAGCGGTCCTGCTGTCGGAGCAGGCCATTATTCTCAGCTTTGCAGCACAAGGAGGTTCTGCTCCACGGCTCCAGAAAACCCTGTTTGCACCAGTGGCCACGGAAACAATAGCATTGCCATTATGTTCTCTATTAGCAGGGACATTTTTACTGATTTTACTAGCTGTGCATCAGCAAGTGCTGCACAGCCCTGTGAAGGTGGCTGCCGTCGTCACAGGTGACGGTTCAAAGCAAGTCAGGAAGAACATATTTCATTAATGCCTTCTGCTGCCAGGAATGCGCCCCTCTTTCACGTCCTAACTCAAAGCTCATGCTGTGTATACTGTGCCACTCCAATAAATCCAGCTGAAGCTCCATCTGAATTATGATCCTCTGCTCCAGGAGAGCACGCAGACATCGCGGAGAGCTCCCCAGCCCCCTTGCCAGGCTCTGGTTATATGGCCAGCTGGAAGCAATAACCATAAACTAATCCTTGTTCTCACTTAGGGATCGAAGGAGCAGTACAGCAATTATAAGTCTTGCAAAATGTCTTTAAATGTACTAGTTCAGGCCAGGTACCTGTCCAGCCACCCTTCATCAAGATGGCTGCTGGTAACAAAGGTGCCAACAGCCCACTGTTTGTCTACGAGCACAAATAATTCAGAGAGCTCCCCCGCTGAGCGTAGGGCAGCACCAGAAGAACAATCAAACAATGACGGACATCGAGGAACACACCCTGCGGGTGAACCAGTGGCACGAACCCCTCCAAGCACTCAGAGCTTGCTAGGCTGAAGCCAAAGTTTGCTGGGCAAGAACAGTTAAGGAAACTATTTTACTGATAGACGTGTAAATCGGGATGTCTGATTGAATAGGTGCACTCAGGACACATACTGCAATCAGTGTTGAGTCAAGATCCCTGTTCAAACACAATGTCATTTTAATGATGCTGGCATCTATGGCTGAGAGCAGCATGACACGCTAAGTGATGTGCAATGCAATGGAGAAAGAGAAGGCAATTTAGCTGACCTGACCTGAGATTTTCTTCCTTTGAGCTACAAGGCCCCCAGGTTTGTAATGAGCACCCATTTTTGCTGACTTGCTACCGAAGAGCAGAGCAGTGTCAGTCAGACGCCTTGGGCACGTCCCGTGGCTGGCAGTCCCTCCTCCTCTGATGACTGTGCAGCTACACCCACAAGAGAAAGAGGAGGTTTGAATCTGAAATTCAGCCTGTGCATGAGAAACAGCTGGTGGACAAACAGAGGATTACTAGGTGGCCACAGGACACTCTGCACTCCCCTGTTCATTAGTCAGGTCTGCACAATCCTCCACTTTCAAACAGATGAGCAGAACCAACCTGCAAATAGGATCATCCTCTTCTTCCCAGAGGCACAGAGACACAAAGGCTCCTGCTAAGTACAAACCAAGCTAAGAAAAGCAAGCCTGGAAATACTCATGTTTCAGGTGACAGAGGCCAGGATGACCGTGTGTCTGCTTAGCAGGTCTCAATCCCTGAAGACTCGCCTCAGCTTCCCCTGCCTCAACAGTACGTGGGCTTTGCACCGTGGCTTCTGGCATGAAGCACAGCATTTCTTGGATTTCCTCTGGAAATGGGAACCATGAGAAGACAACCTGCCTACATGAAAACTCCAATGGCTCTCCTAAGACAAAGCACAGGTCTAGTCCTTCCAAACATGTCTACCTGGAGACGGTTACCTGCAGCATGTTTTCATATGGAGAATCCAGCAGGAAGATGCAAGCCAACAGGCAAGATGCTGCAAGAAGGACAAGGAGCTACCAAACGTTGCACAGTGTGAGCATTCCCCATTGCCTTCGCTAAGAACAGGACTGTGAGTCTCTGATGCCACCTTTCCCCCCTTAAAAGTCATCTTCATCTTTTTTTTCATGCTTTTTCTTCCCCGAGACGAGGCCTAGAAATTAATTGCACTTGCCCTAGGTGCAGTGCCCAGGTGAGCTGCTGCGGCTCTGCACAGCTGATGGACAGGCACCCAGGAAGCACCAGACACCTCCTGTTCAGTGCGTCTGTCTGAGCTGCCCCAGACAGGTCCTCATCAGCAACATTTCCAAAAGGAGGCAGGAGTGAAATTTCCTCTTCATTAAAGCCAATATTAAAATTACAAAGATCCTGAAAGAGACCGGAATAGACTTGACTGATCAAACTGGATCTGAATAAAAATTAAAAATGAAAAAACAGAATAAAATAATAATAACCAACCTAACACCTTATGCAAAGCA